CTCATCGTTGTCAGAATGTTGGCTACCAAGTCACAACACTTTTTGGCTGCAGTAACTCATGATGACTGTGCTGAGGCTGGCAGAGGTTGTGATCTGCACTTGTAATTAATTGATGGTGTAGCCCATGCTGATCCCAGCATGACTATGAGGAAGTGTTTCCCATGTTATTTAGTATGTTACTGGAACATATTTGAAAGAACATGATTTTAAACTGGTGAAGAATAAATCAGATTAATGTGTGATGACAGAATAATTAGACTATATAGCAGAAATTCTTTATCTTTCTTGTGTCACTGACCCCTTTTGACACTCTAGTGAACCCTAGAGCCCCTTCTAGGGTTCACTATGATTTTTTACACACAAAGGAAACCAATTATTTGAAATGAAGTTGTCAAAATGTGTATTTTTCAAAAACCATATTTACAGACTCCAGGTTAAGACCCAAGTATTTATTTATGCAGTAACCATTTTACACTTCTTTAATTTTTGAGCATAGTGGCTAATAATTTTGAAACATTTGAATTTTAGTACAAGTTGCAATATTTGTGCGTGAAACTGGAGATGGATGAAATGGTTCTTAATACTTTAAAATTTTAAGGTTCTAAACTTAGTAACTTATCAACAAAACATATTCAATTAGGCATGCTCCTTCCTGCAGAAAATAGAGTGAAGAACGTGCTATTTAAATTTTCTTCCCAAATATAATTTGCATTATTTTCCGTCTGAGAGACTAATATAGATTGTTACATGATCATTGTACACTGGGTTTTTGTTAGAAGATTCACTTCTTAAAGGAGTTTTGATCAAGACAGTGTGTTAAATCAAAGAGGTAGATGAGCATTTGGAAAGGAGCACATTTTGCTTAGGACTTTTAAAAAATTAATATTTAATTTCCCTCCCAGTTACATGAAAAAGCAATTTTAAAAATCCATTAAAAAAAATTTGAGGTCCAAATTTTCTCCTCCCTCCTCTCCCTTAGACAGTCTAGTAAGCAATTTGATATAGGTTATACTTGTGAAATTATGGAAAACATTTCATATTAGTCATGTTGTGAAAGAAAACATTAAAAACAAAGTGAAAAGTAGTATGCGTTGATCTGTATTCAGACTCCATCAGTTGATTCTGGAGATGGATAGCATTTTTCATCATGAGTCCTTTGGGATTGCCTTGGATTATTGTGTTGCTGAGAATAGCTAAGTTATTCACAGTTCTTCATCATACGATATTGCTGTTACTGTGTATAATGTTCTGCTGGTTCTGCTCCCTTCACTTTGCATCAGTTCATGTACTGCTGAGGACTTTTAACTAGATTTAAAGAGTCAACCATTTCTGATAAATCCTAATTAAATGAATCTTTCCTTCCATCGTAAGAAATTTTATATAGTTTCATAAATTAAAGAGAGATTTTAAAAGATTGGGTTGAGGTGTCTGAAATTTAGCTTGTGCACCAGAGGTAAACATTCTCCCTTTGGGAATGGCAATCACCAGGCTTTACCTTGATCTGTTTCTTTGTTAAGCAGCATGGTGCGTTTTGTGGCTAAATAGATGAAATATACAACTTACTGCCCTGTTGAAAGGCCTGGGGCCAGATCACTGTTGCTTGAGCTCATTTTTATTCCTGCTTTGTAGCTGCCTCACTGCTGTGCAGCAGAATCACTTTGTTCCTTTTTGAAGTCCTAATTTGTCAGTTGACACAAATACAGAAGGGATAAGAGAATCCACTCTGCATCTGCGAATGGTTCGTTGCTTAGTGTGTGTTTCCTCGATTGTTCCTAACATGCAGTTAGGATAATTTATTGTTTACTGTAGCCAAACTTAGTGAAATTAATCTCAATCATTTTATTATAGTCCTTTCATGTATTTTTTCCCCATCCTTTGTGCAACTCATTTGGTATAGCATTCTCCCAGTAATTCTAGGGATTCCTTTGTAGTTCATTGAAAGATGCAGCCTGGAGGGATGGGTAGTGGGGAGAAATATAATACTGGTGTTGGTGTAGGAATGTCTTGCTCAGTTCATCTGATATTAAGTGCTTCTGAGTATGAAGGATATACAGAGGCAAGAACAAAATAGTGCCTGCTCTCAGGGAACTATTGTGGTTGTTGGTCAGTCATGTCTGACTCTCTATAACCCCATTTGGGGCTTTCTTGGCAAAGTGGTTTGCCATTTCTTTCTCCAGCTCATTTTACAGATGAGGAAACTGAGGCAAACAGGGTTAAGTGACTTGCCCAGGGTCACACAGCCGGTAGGTGTCTGAGGCCACATTTAAACTCAAGTCTTCCTGACTCCAGGCCATGCGCTCTAACCACTGCACCACCTAGCTGCCCCTCTCAGGGAGCTTATATTCTACCAGTGGAATACAAGTTGTGTACAAGTCAGTATGGTAGATGAAAAGAAGGAAGGGGCAAAGCATTGGCACCTGGGGAGGTAGTCCAGAAAAGGCTTCATGAGGACATTGCCATGGAGCAAAGGAAGCCAAGTTTCCTCTGAGGCAGAAATAAGGGAAGGAGTATATTCCAGGCACGGGGAATGGCTTGTGAAAGCTCAGAGGTCAAGTTATGAAGCAGTCCATTTTGACCAGAAATTTGAGTCTGTAAAGGGGAATAGTGAAATAGGTCAGAAATAAGGGCTAGAAGAAAAATGAGGTGTGAGTGCCAAGCAAAGTCTGTCCTAGTTAGTCTAGAATAGACAGGGGTTGCCACCAGGGCCAGACCTGTGCCCTGGGAAGATTACTTTGGCAGGCGGGCAGGTGGATCAGAGAAGGGAGATTCTGGAGTCAGGGAAACCAATTACAGTATTCTAGGGGAGGGAGGGAGGGTGCTGGAAATACAACAGCCACGTGAGGAGAAAGAAGGGGATGGGTGGGAGAGGTTAATGGAGGGAGAATCAGCAGACTTGGCGGTTGATTGAATATTGGGGGCAGTGAGGGAGAAAGAAAACTTGGGATATGAACAGTGACTGGGAGGATCAGACCTTTTTGGAAATACAGTTTTACAATTTTAGACATTTTACATTTTAAATTTGAGACATCTGTGGACTATCCAGGTACAGATGTCAATAAGCAGTTGAGAACATGGGCCTTGAATTCAGGAAAGATTAAGGCTAGATATATAGATTTGATAGTTACCTTCCAAGAAGTGAGACTATTAGACCCATGAGGAGTGATGAGATCATCAAGAGAGAAGGGCAGAGGCACCAGGACAGTGTCTTGGTGGGGAGGGGAGTGTGTGGGAATCCAAGTTTAATGATAACTCAGCATCGAGGACTGAGGCGTTAAAAGCCAGGTGAGAGGAGAATCCAGAGAGTGAAGTGTCTGAAACAGAAGCTCATTTTAGTAGTGTTGTGGGGTCATAGATCAGGCTGTGAGGCTTCAGAAGTGAGTAGGTGGTGAAGCAGGGAACATAGATTTTTTAGAAGTTGACATTGAAAGAAGGGAGATCTAGGATGCCAGCTTGATGGCATAGCAGGGGCCAGTGAGGGTTTTTTTTTTAAAGGACGGGTTAGACTAGAGAATGTTTGTAGGTGGCAGGGAAAGAACCAGGAGGTAGGAAGAGAGAAGACTGGGTGGGTGGAAATGATCACCAGAGTTCCTTCCTGGAGGAGATGGGAGCCTAGGATTGAAAGTACTGGTCAAAGGGTTGGCCTTGGCAACAAGGACCACCTCTTCTTAGAAAAAACAGTGAAGGCCAGGGTGGTGATGAGGGAGAAGAGCAGTTTGGAAATAGGAGACAGAGGAGGGGAGTTCCCAGCAGATGGCTTTTCACTTCCCAGGAAAGTGGGAGTCCAGGATATCTGCTGATAGAACAGGGTGGAGGAGACTGGAGGGGAGAGAGAGAGATGAAGAGGTCAGATGCAGCTCCAAAGTTTTGCCATCTGCTGTTGAATGGGCAATAAGGTCCCTGTGTGGGCCACTGCAGGATGTTCCTGGAAAGTCACAGGAAGGGACTGGACCTGTTCTGGTCTAGAAGGATCAGGTGATCTTTTAACGTCCTTTCTAGTTCTATTGGTCTGTGATTTTATTAAGATGAAGAAACTCCTTTTGTGTTAGATACTCTGCCTTATGATTCTTTTCACTTTAGCTATGGATTGTTATGAAAATTAAATGGCAGGGTTTCATATTGTATCCTGTTAGTAGAAGTAGCTGGGAACGTACAAGGCAAAAGCTGTATGTCTAGTCTCTTGTAATTCAGTATGTCTTCCCCAGGGAAGGCTAAAGATTTGGCTAGGCTGTCCAGTCTCCTTGGTGCTATGTGGTTGGTAAATAGAATGTACGTTCATATTTTCCCTCTCTCTTCTCTTGTTCTGCCTTATACTAATTCTCTCCATTGCCCTCATCCCATCTGATTTGCCCTTTCTTTCCTATTCATTCCCATCTTCTTGCTATTTTTCTCTGCTGCCATCATCTGTGCCTGTTTTTTCCCCTTAAGAATATGGTAGTTACTGTAATACAGAAATATGTTTGTAAAGGGAATCTGCCCCTCCCCCCATTAAAAAAGCAGTGAGAACCCTTTTTCCTTTGCTTCTTTTCCCCTTCCTTAGCAGCTTTGGGTGCTGCTTTGGGATAAAAGCTTGCTGACTTGTCTGTCCTAGCTGTTGAAGGGAGGAATTGCTCTGCTGATGGATGGCCCCTTTTAGTGGGTGCTGTTATATCAGAAGGGCAAAATGGTCTTGCTTTTGGCCTCTGTCGAAATAGTATGGAACATTGGTTAGTTTATTAGAATTGAGCACTTGCAGTGTGGTAGGGAAGCACTCTGGCTGCTGGCAACTGCAGGGACAAAGTAGAATGGGAATTTTATAAGTTTAGGGGGGCTTTGTACTTGAAAATGCACTTTGGATAATTCATGAGTTCTGTAAGTTGAAAAAATTTTGTTGTTAACTAAGGAACAGTTATATTTGTATACTTGGTGAAACTACATTATTGCATATTTTTTTCATTTAGGAAGAACTGTTATATTAGAAGATGAATATTGAATGATACTGTGCGTCCTTCCCTCTTTTGCAGGCAGAATCACCCCCAGGACTGGAATTGCCTTCGTGGTATCCAGTTATAAAGCAGGAAGGTGACTCTGTTTCTCAGCCTCCTTCATTCATTCATCCCAGGTAAGCAGCCATCTTTTTTTTAAACTTTTTCTTTCTTTATTATTCAAAAGTTGACTTTAAAAATCCAAAATCGATATTTTTGAAAAAGGGCATTTTGGGTAGACATATATTTCGGTTTATATTTGTTAGCATAGCAAAATTAATACAATTCGGTTTGGTAGTAAATTTGCCTAAAGGTACAGGAAAGCTCGAGAATGGAAATGGGTATTTTGGTTTTCCATTCCGTTGAGTCCTATTGAGTGTGCCAGGTCCTAGAGGAAGAGTCCATTGGTGTGGGCTTTTTTTAACTGCATCATCTTTAGAAGTATGTGAATTGCCTTTCCTCTAATATTACCTTTTAAATGTTTACTCTAATACATAGAAGCTTTCTTAGTTGCTTCAGATCTACATAAGAATTATTCATCTTTTCACTGAGAACATCTAAGATTCGTAACTTCATTTTCTCTTGTTACTCAGTTTTTCTCTTGGATAATATGCATTCACCAAGTCTGGAAATGGAGAGAGCCCTTGCCTTGCTCTGGATGCCCTGAACTTAAATTCATTAGATCTTTTTAAAAGTGCCTACTGTGTGTAAGCCCCATGCTACCCTCGGGGGGTGGTGGTGGTGGTAATAAAGTTTAAATAAGACAATCTCTTCTAATGAAGCTTAGCCATCAATAGGGAGTTATGAAATCCACAAATAACTAATGTATAATAGTACTTGAATGTGTCAGGCAGGGGCCAGCAATGTACATGTGCGAATGGAGGAAGGAAAGGTCATTGTTGGTGGTGAGGATCATGGAGCATTATCTACCTAGAGGAAATAGCATCTGAGTTTGGCCCTTCGTGGTAAATTGGATGATGGGTACAGATGGAGCAGGTTGGGGGAATGGATGTTCTGGACAGGGAAACGATGTGTAGAAAGGGATGGAGGTAGGCGTGCACAGTGTATGACTTGTCCAGCTCAGCTCAAGCAGAGACTATTGAAAGCAAGTAGCATGAGAAATGACTTTCAAGAGAAGGTGGCACCAGATCACGGCGGGCAGGCCGTCAGTGCTATGGTCAGCAGACAAGAGGGAGCCTCTTGAAGGTTGTGAGCAAGGCCTGAAATGTCTGGCTCTCTGCATCAGTATAAAGCATGGTCTGGAAGAGCAGGAGAGTGGAGGAAAGACATCTTTGAACCTAGGAAGCTGGCTGAGTTGGGAGGCTGGGAACCAAGTGAAGGCAGAAGGAGAAGTGCTTGATTTGAGGCCTGTGAAAGAGTGGAGCTGTAAGCAGGCCTTTGGCCGTTGGATTAAGTTTGCTGGTCCTTAGTCATGTTGGGGGAGTACCAGGGCTGGTGAATCGGAGAGAGATGATTTTAAAAAAAAGGGGGGGAGGGTTAAAGGAAGAAGGCAACTGGAGGACCAGGAATCTAAGGGATGGTGTTAAAGGTAATTGGGGGGGGTTGCCTTTGCTGTGTTGAGTGGCTTTTGTAGGCAGCCTCTTTAATGTCACAGAAAGTTCCTTTGTTCTATAATTTAGCACTGTTAATTTGATAAGTCATTTGTAATTATAATTTGGTATTTTCATGTTCATTAACTTATCCCATAAGCCTGTTAATTAATTAGCCTCCCAAGCAGCTTTGGGTCAGTGTTCAGTCTCACTAACTACTGCTCTAGCAATGGCCCTGTGATCTCATCAGCAGGGGGCCTCCCTCCCTCTGGGAATGGAGCTCACAATCTTGCTGTGCATTTTTACCTGGTGTGACACCCAGGTCCTCTGGCTCCTCCAGAAGGGTACACCCAGCATCCCGAATGGGGGTGTGTTGTGTGTGTGTAGAGTACATAAGCTCTCTGCCAGTTATCCCTAGATTTTGCTATATGACCGGCCCAATAGTACATGCCCACCATGGGTTTGCCTGTTGCCTTTAATTGTGTATAAGCCTAGTGTGTTGTCATGCAAGTGCTCAAATATTTAGGGAAGATCATCTTGTGGGATTAGTTTAAAGGCACCCTTGTACTTTGGGCTTTGCCCCTTCTGTGGGTGTGCATGCTCTTGTGCACTTGCTAGTAGCTGGACTGAGGTCAGATTCCACTTAGCCTCCTGGTGTTGCCAGAAGCCCCAGGAAGTTAGGACCACGGGGAGGCTTACAAAGAGACCTGGCTTGTATCCACACAGCATGGTGCTGAACCAGACAGCAGCCACACAGGAGCAGAGCACGGATTCCCTGTGGCCTTGGAGCAGCTCTGGGGATAAAAATAGGCCTCGCAAGCAGCCAGAAGTGACTGCTGTGTCCTGGGACAGCCTCATCTACCACAGTGCTGCCCAAGTGTGTGTGAACCTTTCTGTGCTCAGCCCTGTTGTTTTAGGGGAGAGCTAAAGGAGTGATTTTTCCACCCTTTTCCTTGCAAAAAGGGTGCAGAAGGAGGTGTGTTTGGCTCCTTATGCAGTGACAAGGGCCCCTCGTGTGGATAATTTTATTCCCTTACCTTGATTTAGGGCAGGCTCTTGTCACTTTTTGGAGAGTTGGCTTCCGGACATTTTGAATAAAACAATGGAAAATTGTCAATTTCCATTTTACTTGTAGATTTAAAAATTAAACCTGATTTTTTTCCTCATTGTGTCTCCTCAGCTACTACCTGTACATGTGTGATAAAGTGGTTGCTCCAAATGTGTCGCTTACTTCAGCCGTGTCGCCATGTAAAGAGGTCACGAAAGCAGGGGCCAAAGTGGCGGAAGGGAACAGGTCTCTGCCAGGGCAGCCTGAGAAATCTTATGCCAGCAGCAAATCACGCAAAGTGCCTCTTATCCAGAACTTTCCCTCGAGGAGCAAGAGAAGGTGGATCTCAAATCCAGTCAAGACCTGGGCAGCCGTCTAGGTGAGTGTGCTCACAGCATCAGTCATCATCAAGGGCTTCTCAGGATGACTCAAGTGTTTTGTTTTAACCACGTGTTAATTGAAATTTCCAAAATATATGTAGTATTACATTATCTCCCTTCCTGAACACATTCCCGCCTTTTAAAAAAATCAGATTTTTGTATTCTGAATACTTAAATAATAATTAGAGACATGCACTTATGTAGCTCTTGCATTGAATTGCCTTTTATTTTGCAGATTACCCATAGTTTTTACTCTGCCTTCCATATTTTAAGTAAGATAGTTTTCAATTATTTAATTGCTTTTATTTTATTTTTATTTAATTATTGCAATTATTTAATTCCCCTTAAAGATCCATCCATGTCAACCAGTTCTACAAATAAAAGGAAATTGGAACCCAAGGCTTGTGGCACAGATGCAGAAACCAGCAAGATGGAAAGGGCCCAAGAGACCCCAACTCTGTGGCCATCGATTATCAAGGATATCAGTTGTGAGGACGATAAGGGGAAAATCATGGAGGAAGTGATGAGAACCTACGTCAAAAAACAAGAGAAATTGAATTCTATCTTACAGAAGAAGCAGCAGCTTCAGATGGTAAGACTTGTTCAAATGATTTTCCATTTAGCCAAAAAACCCTTTATTTTTTGTGTTTTATTTGCCTTGTTAACGTGAAAAGTCAAGTTATTGTGGCCTAGATTGTAAATCACACACAGACAGTCCATGTTTCATTTGAAGCTCTTTTCAGAATCATGAACATTTAGAAATTTGACAGTGAAAATGCCAACTTAGGCAGGAGTTTTAAAAAAACTGATATTCTATATCCTTGCCATAGTATCCTTACTAGTAATAATGGCCTAATGTTTCTGTTTTCTGAGTTGAAAATTTTAACTGGAAAGAAGTAAAGTAAAAATTTATTTCTGATTTTTTTTTGGTAGGAAGTGGAAATGCTGAGCAGTTCAAAAGCCATGAAGGAACTCACTGAAGAACAGCAGAATTTACAAAAAGAGCTGGAATCTCTACAGACTGAGCACGCTCAGAGGATGGAGGAATTCTACATTGAACAGAGGGACTTGGAGAAGAAACTGGAGCAAGTGATGAAGCAAAAGTGTACCTGTGATTCCACTTTAGAGAAAGACAAGGAGGCTGAGTATGCAGCCCAGGTGAGAACGGAGGTCTGTGAGATCAGCTGGGGAAAAGGCCCCATCTTCTGTGGGCCATGGGCATTCGACACAGCTTCCCAGAGCAGGCAGCCTTTGAGTGGAGACTTGAAGCTTGTGGTAGTAATATATCACAGGCGGCTATGGGGGCGAGGTAGGGAATGGAATATTTTTTGAGTGGAGGGGAAACCATGAGCTTAAGGTGTGGAGGAAAGAAAACATGGCCTGTTTTGGGGGAGGCTAAGTAGTTGAGTTGGGCTGGAGTGTAGAATAAACTGGAGGGTGAGAGGAGGGGAGAGAAAACTGGTAGTTTGGGGCTGAAAAATTAAAAAAAGATAATTCTGTAGAAGAATGGGTACCAGTATATGTTTAATGCTGGTTTTTTCTTTTTTGTCTCTGCTCTCCTAGAGAAGAATTTTATATTTAACTTAGTATGGCAGATATTGTAATAGTACAGTACATATAACCAGTATTTCAGTGCGAATATCATTTAGATTTATGAAGCTCGTGATTTTTGTTTCCTCTCTTAATCACTTGATTAAAGCACTGAAGATTTGAATCATAGAACTAAGATTACTATGTTTAAAATAATCTGTCCCCCTCCCCCCAAATCAGGATATAGGAATGTTATAATTAAAGCAACCCAACAGGTCTTTAACATATTTTTATCTAAAATGTAGTTTTCACGGAAATATAAATTATCATGGAATCCAATGGGAAAAGAATGAGAAGTTGGGGAGATCACACACACGTGTGCACGCACACACACGAGATTGTCAGCCGCAGAGAGATGTGGGTGCCTCGTTCTCTCCTTAGAAGTCTTTGCCCTGGAACCTGAGCCCTGCGTCCCTGCAGAGTGGCTGGGCCTCTTCTGACCGTATTTCATCTTTGTAACCACTGAATGTTTTCCTGGGTGATTTGGGCGATGGTAGCAGAAATGCCTCGTCTTCTGATGTGAAAAACCAGCCCTGGATGTGGCGCGGCCCCCCCTCCCCACTTTCTCCTTCCCTCTGCTTTCAGCTTGGCTTCTTTTGGTACCCCAGACTTGGATTCTGGTGCTGAGGTTGAACCTTGTTACTTGGCCCCTGGAACATGCCCCTTTCTAAATGGGCTGGGCTGGACTGAGCTGAGAAGCCACGGGTATCAGACACTTTTTCCTTGGTCTGAGCTGTGTAAATAATTGCTTCCTCTGGCCCTAGGCCCAGATTCTGAAGACCACATAGGACACAGTTGATAAATTGAAAGCTATATTGGCCTATAGCAAGGCCAACATGGTCTCACCTTCTATTCTGCCCCCTTTAGTTGGAATATAATATGTGTCACTTATTCTGTACTTGATGGGGAATATCTGTGAAGTCATTTGGATCAGTCGAGTACTGCTAGATTTTAACCGATGTTCTTTTGAGAAGTTAAACCATGTCCTCTTCTCCTGGTCCTGCTTGCAGAGTCCTAAATCAAGACATATTCTACCTAAGGTTACTCTGACAAATGTCATTTTTGAGGCACATCATAACTAAACTCTACCGGGACTTTTTTTGGCCAGTTGTTTTTAGCATGTAGCACTGTACTGGTGGAGGTAACTGCCCCTTGCTAACATGACCTGACTTGGCATGTTTTCAGTTAGCCAAATAATGACATTTATGGGGATTGTGTATTGGGCAGGACATTTCAATGTCAGATGATTTCAGTGACTCGTTAACTATTGGTTCATCGTTATGTGGAGTAACATATTTATAAAAATCTTGTATTCTATCTTTTTTGAACATGCAGTTGGCTGAGCTTCGCCAGAGACTGGATCATGCCGAGGCAGACAGACAAGAGCTTCAGGACGAACTCAGGCAGGAGCGAGAAGCCAGGCAAAAGCTAGAGATGATGATAAAGGAACTGAAGCATCAGATTGTGAAATCTTCCAAGGCTGTTAAAGAATAGAGACCAGCCAGGAGAACTCCCCTGCGCTCTCCCGACGGGGCTTTGTAGTTCAACAGACACTTGTCTGTGTAAAGATCGAGGCATTCTCTTGACTTGGAGTTCACAGAGAAAGTGAAGAGATGAGAGATATATAGATATATAGATATATATTCAAATTTTTAGATTTTCCAAATGAATGAAGATCTGTTTCTTTGTACTAGTGTTTTTTAAAAATCTTAAACAACTAGTAACAATGAAACCGTATGTTTTAAAATAGGTGTCTGTCTCTGTTTCTAATGCAAATGACTGTTGTGTACCTTTCTAAAGCAGCATTGTATGACGGAGAATACCCTGTGCTCCATTTTATTGTTGCCCATGTTTCACACTTGCTTTTGGAAACACTTTCTACAATATTTTTGGTGTCTTCAATATTAAATCAAGGTAGGCGTCCAAGCTCTATCTTTTCTGAGGGTTAAAATGAACGCCATTTTCTTGGTAAGTTGCTGTGGTGGATTCATGACTCCATAGACAACATTACTCCTCTGATTCTCTCCTGACTGTGGAATAAATTTCCACCAACAACGGCCGGAGGGGTTCATTATGTTCTGCTGCTATGGAAGAGGAACGGCTGACATGTTAGGGGTTTGTTTTTCTTTTCCCTCTTTAAATGTGCTTGTGGGAGGCTACTTTTTTTTTTCCAGGCAGCAACAGGCCATTGAACTGAAAGTAATAATTGGGACTTACTCTTTAGAATCCCTGAGCTTTTAATTAGTTGTCCGAAGAGTGACATGAAAATATTAATTCTTGGGGATAGGGGAGGGAGGGAACCAGTTGTGTTATCATTAATGTACATCAGCTGCTTTGGTATCTGTTCACTTCTCCCCTGTACAGTTTTTATATGTAGGTAGGGGTCAGACTGATGTTTATATCGTGGGTTTGTTTTTCTTTGGGTTGTAAAATAGGAAACACTTTGAAAGTCACTTAGAATTTTTGTATATTTAAACGTCAAGATAAATCTTACCAAAATCTCTGCAAATGGACCACGTTCATTTAGCTCTTTAACATTAAAACCAGGAATTTGCAGCCATTAGATACTACTAATACACCATAAATTAATGCATGGAAAAATCCAGATATCTACTGATTTTCAGATAATTTTCAGAAGCAAGACAGGAATTCCATGTGGGGAAGTAAACTCTTGCACTTTTTTTTTTGCACAGATAGGTCTGTCATTCTTTAATGCCAGATTTCACGTTAATTATCCATTTATTTAAAAGAGCTAAAATAGAAGCGTTCAAGTTTTCCATGATATACACTGAAGCCACCATTCGTTGGAAATATTTTTCCATGCTTTCTAAGCTTTTGATAGTTTCTCATAAGGTACTGTTTGATAACTATTAGTTGAAACCACTTACAAATATAAATATATGGTTGGACTCTTTTTTTGTATGGAGATTACCAAATCCTACTTTCAGGATGGATGCAAGTTAGGCACTTTGTAGCGATGCAAAACATTTAAGCCGCTTGTTCATTACTTTAAAGAATTGTGATTCACTATAAATGATATTTATGTGCCCTAAAATAATTTGTACCCCCCGAATGAACAAAGAATCAATTTAAACAAATCAGATGTGGTTTTTGTGCATTCATTTGAGTTTTACTAAGTTAACATTCGTAAATGTAGACAGAACTAGCCCTGTTTAGTTTAGAGAGAAAAGCACAGAGGTGTTTATGATCCTGTATTCTAGTTGTCGATTAATACTTGTAAATTACTGGATAGTCATGTGGTTATTCTTTACCTCTTCAGTGTATGGAGGAGACTTGCATTTTCTCAAAGTCACTCCAAACATTTTTTCTTAGTTATTATAAATGATAGGCTCAGTTAACTGTCAACATAAAATCCAGTAAAAAGTTACTTAATCTTTGTAAATTTCTTTTACTTCTAAAATTTTCAACCCCTTTAAAATTATCTTTTAATTTAACAGTGAGCAAAGAAATATTTATTTCAAGTCCTTCATATAATGAACAGTTCCCACACACTTCACAGGCTTAATTTTATGCAGATGATACAGTAATGTGTCATGTCTCAGCCTGAATTCATTACAAAAGTTTTTTTTATTAAATTGTAAATAGTATACATGTTTATATACTTTTACACTGAGCTCTTCCTCTGATTTCCAAGAGTTGATAAGACTAGTTTTATTATATACCCTATATAATTTGAATACATGCAGAAATTTTGAATAAACATTTATAGAAACGTATGACTTAAAAAACAAACAAACCAAAAACCAAGAAATACTACCAACATGAGCTTGATCTTAACACGAACATTTTTCTTGTCAGTTGTTGGTAGAAAGTTTGGGCAGAAGTTTGTGTGCCATTGTTTAGGCAGGCAGATATTTTCCCCAGCCTCTCTTAATATTATTGTTTTAGAAAAAAATTTTTCAGAGCTGCATCAAAAACATCTAATGAGAAAAAAGGCTACTTTAGGGAACATTTTTTTTTTTGGTGGGGAGGAAGCAATAGCATATGACTGACGTTAATTTCTCCACTGGGCAATAATTTGGTTAATTTGTTGAGGGGCTGTGTTTCTGTGAAAAATTGATCAAATTTATGAAAGCAAGGCAGCAAATTCCTATGTCCTTGGAGGCTCTCAAACATCTCAGATACTTAAGCGCAGCTGTTAACATTTGAAAAATTTTTTGATAAAAATGTTATTAATGAATCCATGCTTTAATTTTTGTAAAGCATTCTCCTTAGCTTAAGTTCCGAGGGAAATGATAATGTTTTTCCACTTCTTGAGCTAACGTATTTTATAACATATTTAATATATTGACAACCTAGATGTGTCAAATCATTTGTGTGTATTAAACGATCATAATGCAGTTACTGAAGAAGGCAATGCAGTGGAGGGATGGATAGCGCCATCTGCTGGCTAGCCACCCAGTTTAGAAGTCCTCATGAACAACAATTCATGTGTATGTACATCCTTGGCTTCAGCTTGGGAAGAGCAATGCTTATGATGGCCCCTGAAAATAATAGGAAATTGCTTAGAACGTTTCTATAGAATTGCAAATCTGATGCCGAAGTCGTTTTTTGATCAGCTTTCTCAAATTCCCTTCTCACAGAGCTTGTTTTGATTCTTCATGAAAGATGCTGAGGGTTTTCCCTTTTCCCCCACCCTTGAGCCATGTAATCAACATGATGGGACATTTGAGCATGTTTTCATTTTCCTAAACGGACTAGTATGCTTCTAGAGTACATCCCATTCTGTGCTCAGACTGACGAGATCTTCTCAACTGTTGTATTATAAATGTTGTGGGACTGAGTAAACTTCTAAAGGTTAAAAAAAAGTTTTCGTTGTATTTGTAGTAAGAGACACTCAAGCATCTCCATTATGAGAAGAAACATATATTTGAGTGTTTTATATTTGGTATATTTGTTTATTGCATCTAAATTAAAAAGAGAGTCAGCTTTTTTAGGGATTTGGGGTTTCGGGGAGGAGGATAAAAACTTCTCAAATTTGAAATAACGATACATTTTATAATGTTTCTTAAGTCATTTAGAACTGTTTAATATGCAGGATTACCGAGTTAGAAAATGCTCCAATTTACAACATGGGCAGATTTTTCCATTAAGTCCAAGAAGACAAAAATAACATACTGAAGGTTAGTTTAGTAGAAAAGAAGTAGTTCAAATATTTTTCTTCAATATAGATACCTCACTTGAAAATAAGGAAAGCACAGTGTACTTAAAATAGTTCTAGTCAACATAGAAGTTCTGTCTAAAAGAATTTGTTGCCATGGGGTTGCCTTTGAGGTTTTACAGTCTGTCAATAGTATACATGCATATATGTATATATATTTACATATATATTATACACACATACGTATTTGTTTTAATCCATGAAGTTAGAAGTATTTGTTTATCCACAAGTAATTTACACCAAGGTATTTCCAATAATCTCTGAAAACAAGTGAAATACCTTTTCTGAAACTGTAGCAAAGGAAAAAAGGAAAACTTCGGAATTATGATCAGTGCATTCAACAATTTATACTGACTTTTCCGATGACATACAGTTTGAAGGTGAAAGTTGCTGTGGTTGCATTACATGGAACAAGCTGTCCTCTACCTCACATGAAATTAAACAATATTTTATATGGTTTTAGTAAAACCGAGATGCATCTATCTGGTCACCTCGTTTACAAATTTTGAATTCTATTTATTGAAACATGACATACTGTGCTCTTAGCTTATACCTCAATTGTATTTTGTGCTTTTCCCCGTTTCCAATTTCATGTCTTGTAAATATCTTGTATAGACTGGATTCAGTTCCAAATAAAGAATTGTAATGATAAATTGAATCAAAAAGGTCACGTGTGTAAACATAACTTCCTTGTGCCTTTAAATTTACACTTAATCCATTTATACTTTAAAAAAATAAAAGCTGACTTATTTAGCATTTCAATATTATATAATTATGTTACAAAAACTTTTAAGTGGCTTCTCAGTATATTTTATCTTCTCTTTCTGTCATTAAAATTTTGACCACAGGAAGTAAGAGTTTCTCCATTTACAGAAAACCCCTGTCATCTATTCATTTTTTTGGTCAGCAAACATTAAGTGCTTACTGTATATGATGTGCTGGGCTAGGCACAGAGGAAGATGCACATAAATAAATAACTTGATCCCTAGTTTAAACTGGGGCAGAGTGGGCCACTAGGTGACAAAATTTGGAGATGGGAGAGGGAGGGTCCTGACATCACCTGCTCCTTGAATCTGTGGGAACAACTGAATTCAGCAAAACAAAAATAATAAGCTGAAATTGAAAACTAGAGCTTCTCCTTGATCTGGCATCTTTAGGATGGTCTGGATCTCCACAGCCCTCCCTTTGCAGCCAGGGTTGTGTCTCCTCATCCCCACTCACTCCTCTAAACTGAATTTGTCATAAGGAAGGCATCTTTCTTGCTATTTACCCTAGTGAGCCAATGCTATTCCTGGTCATTACTCTAAATAAGGCACGGTCCCTGCCCTAACAGAGTCTGTAATTATAGTGTTGGGAATAGGAAATGAGATGTGCATACAGACAAATAACGATACAAATTAAAATGGAAATACATGAAAATGCTATGTAAGGGTAGGTGAGGGACACTTGAGCATCTCCATTATTACAATAAGATGAGTACTGAATTTCACTCCACTGTTTTCATTGACCAGTTATTTGGCTCAGAGTTTCTTCCTTGCTGGCACTGGTTAATAGACCCTTTGGGCAGATTTGTAAACTTAGGCAACACCTGACCTTGGCTTAAAAAAATGCCTCCTGTTTTTATATCAGCCATTTCTGGGTCCAGTGATGCTGTCCTGCCCCACCCCCCTCTTTCAGCACGTAAACCTATTGTAATGAAGAAAAGTGGTTAATCAATATCCGTGGATGTGGGGATTGCATCTTGTAGCGTATGCAATATTGTGCATCCATAGTTCCTACCATACACCTTCCTACCAAAGTGAAGAGAGAGATATTTCCCCATATCTTCTACATTAAGATGGATCATTTCAGTTATTTAGTGTTCTGTTTTGTTTTGGGGTTCTTTTTGTCATTGTAAAGTAGATGGTATGGAGAAGGGCTTCTTAAATTTTTTCTACTCTTGACCCCTTCAGTTCTTCTTAAACTGTGGGTCAAAACAGTTTAAACCCACAGTTTAAGAAGCACTGGTATAAAGATTAGGGCATTGAACTTGGAAGTCAGAAATCCCTGAGTTCAAATCCTGCTTCAGACATACTAGCTATGTCTTCTTGGGCAAGTCACTTAAGTTCTCTAGGAAACAAAGACTATAAATTTCGGAGAAGGTGCCAACCTTCACTGGAGAAAGGAGTGTCCTTATCTAGGAGTTCTCTATGTTAATGAAATCACAGGTCCAGTCCCAGAGACAACTGGAAAGATTTTGTTCAGATTTCCAGTTTGGATCATCCGGTGAGCTGAAGGGAATCATGGAAGAATTTTCACCAGGAAAAGTTTGGTTTCTCTGCTGAGGATGAGAGGGTGACTCTCAGGCAAAGCTAGCCTCTTTATCCCTCTGGGGAGAAGCCCATGGATTCTTCCAGGAGCTTATTTGGGACCAGAATTTCTTTAAAGAGGAGGATTGGTTTTCCCCTTCTCTATTTTTCACTTTGTTAGTGTTTTATTCCCATTCCATTTTATTTGCTAAGACAGCCTCTTTTTAAGCTTTACAAAATAATTTCCTTGTTGATTTTGCATAACTTTATACAAGGATGATTGTGAATTCCCGGTCCGCCAGCTGTGGAAAGCTTAGGCCCTTCCCTAAAGACTTTGACTGTGTAATGGGCCCTTGGAGCATGGCTAGATCATCTAACTTAGAGGCATCCTGATTCTCTGTGTTCCCCTACCACTCGGGTGGGAATAGCCCCCTTCGATTGGCAGCATCTTTAAAACTATGAGACAGGAAGAATCTCACTCTCTTTCCTGTCCAGTCTTATCTGCTGTGTCCAGAGGGTGAAGATTACACATAGTTCACTGAGAAAGAGAGAGACCTCTCCCCTCTTCTCTCCTTTTATTTTCTGACTCTGAGAGATGACCGAGGTGTCTATTTCTTCTGTTTCGTTTTGTCTTCAGGTCCAGGTATGGGTGGCAGTCCTCACTGGATCTGGGAGTTTGAGCATGGTGCTAGGATCTGGAATTCCAGGCAGATGTTGCAGCCAGCTAACTTAGTAGGGAAGACCTGAGAAGCCAGGGGGGCCTGGAACTTGAGCACAAGGGATCTCTTGGACTTGGAATTTGAGACTCTGCTATATAGGAACTGAGTTAAACTATGGACCTAATTCCCTTCCCTTCCCTAGAAACTGAGGTGGTGTGGGGTGGGAGGCCTTTAAGGCCTATGTGTTGGAGAGTAAGTTGGTATGTTTGTGATTCTATCTTTTGAACTAAATATTTCTCTGTAAAAGCTAATCCGTTAGTTAAGTGGTTAAATGGAGCTGAGGTGTAGGAGATCCATGCCCTTCAATCAGGGGAACACCAAGCCAATGGTAGAATCTAGACATCCCCTAATCTTCTTAAGGGTAAACCTGGAAGGGGAGGTGATAATTTACATATCCCCTGGCCTTCAGGCAATGGGTGCCAGAGTAGTCAGAGTTTCATAAATACTGTGCTGAATGGATTGCTGGGACCCTATGTGACATTTCAGAGGCGATTAAGAAATGAAACTCTAGTACAAAGTATTGAGGGAGAGATATTTGGAAGGACAAGACTTCATCCTCCCAGGAAACTAGGATTGGGAATATGGACAATTGTGCCAAATGGGCACTGCAGGAAGCAGCCAGGATGTTTGCCATCCCCAAAGACATAACTGCTTGAAGACATTCTGATTATTAATATCAATCAAAGTATAAAATCAGGAGATGCCTGCTACTTTCATGAAGGAAGTTGAGTGCAGGGTTCAAACTGAAATGAGATTGCCTGTGAGGCCCTCCTAGGTGTTCCTGTTTGTGGACAACATTGTGTTGGC